GATTATGTTCAAAAACTGTAAGTTCTATTTACCAATTTTTACATTGTTGTCTAGGAAAAAAAATTGTTTTGTTAAAATATACAGAGCATGTTGGTTTTCACTCTTTTCTTTGTTACTGAGTACAAGCCTTTGACACGTTACAAAGGAATCATTTTAAAATATTTCCAATATTCTGAACCTTTGCTTTGGAATAGTATTCCAGTTGAGATAAGAAATGCCCACTCTATTTTCTTTATTCAGTTTGCCATCATCCATACTGAGAAAAGTAGGAAGTAGAGGGGGTGGAGGGCAAGACCACAAACTAGCTAGTTGATGGTACTTTTCTGTGCTTTCAGCCTTGATATAGCCATACTCAGTTAGCTACCATCATGGTCAAAGAGGTAGGAGGGAGAACAGGTCTGAAAAGGGGAGCCTAAAACTGAACCATGCAGTACAATTACTGAAGAGGGCTGTGCCTTTGTTTACACTGTATCCACCAAGTATCAAAAAGAAAGAATAGTCTAGTGGAAGAATTAATATTATATGCCCATGCCCTGAAAAAAACTGCAAGATTTAGGCTTTACGCTTTCATTAGAGTGAAATAGGTGAATACAGGAGAAGATGACGACCCTTCTAATATTGGAGAAAAAAAAACACAAGATAAACCCTTAGGGTAAATGGAGAGGGAAATGTAGCAGTAACAGAAAACCCTGCTGAAACCAACCACCCTGATTGAAGAAACACAAAGTGGGATGAAACATCACAACCATCACAACTGTCAACACAGGCAGCAGGGGGTAAGAAAGGAAAGAGATATGGAGAGGAAGAAGCTTATGAAGCAGCCTGTGCAAAAAACAATAAAGATCATCCCTTGCCCCAACAACTTATTGCCTGGCAAAAGTATATATGACCAAGTAAAAGCCAGTAGCAAACTTGTATTAGGATGCAATTAGGCAAACTTGTGTTAGGATGCAATTAGGCATACAACATGGGGCATGCTGAATTCTCCCAAAACCAGAAAGCTGCCAAAGAAGCACATTCAAGACAACTTAATGGTGAATGATGATGCAAGAGGAAGACAGAGTACACAGAATGGAAGCAAACAAAGAATACAGTGAACACCCAATTACACTGGCTATGCTAAGCTGCAAATGCTTTATCAAACTTCACAAAATGCAGGATTAGACTTTCACAAGCACAAAATCCACTAGATCACTGCTGACCAGATAGATTCTGGGGAAGCCACAATAATGCATGTAATGACAGTTCAAGCCACCAAAATGCCTGAAAGAGTTCTTCATCTTGTATCCCTTGCCAAACCTAAAAGAAAACTTGAACTGCCTATTGGTTTTCACTTTGGCTCCAAAATCCCATTTCTATCTGAACTCATTTTAACCACAGATTTGATCAATTTGTCTCAGTGTATTTAAAAAAAAACCTACTCTGTAATCTAGCATGAAATAACTTTAGATTACTAAAATACCAACAGATAACTTATACCCGATCTTGATTTACTATTTTGGAAGCATTAAAATTACTATGCACACTAAATTCTAAATACGAAATAGAATATGTAACTTCTAACTGGATAGATTGATTACAATTAAAATATGCAGCTAGCATGTAATTGGATGATAAGGGTAGCCTTACTTAGACAATTAATTTGATTAAAAGAACATCATTGGTATTTTGCAGCCACTTTGTGTCTCTAGACATGCTTTTTCTAACTTGACTTTGAATACATATTGAATGTAAGAACCTCTAAAATAATTAAATAGTATGCTATGTCTACAGTGTTTACATAAATGTATATTGTTAATGACCAATATACTATTTTAATTCAATATCTATCAATGTGGTTGGCAAAATACAGCTGGTGATCTGGTTTTATCTATCAATTTACATCATAGGATATGGCCTTAAAATCACTTATCCAACTAGCACCCTTGAGCAAGTTGCCCATGTATAATCTATCTAGTACTGGAGCATTCACTAAGTCAGCTGCCATAGTAACAGTCATAGAAGAGACACAATAACTGAGCCACAATTGTAGATATGGAGGGAAGTAACCACCTGCAGTTGCTATGTGCTGGTTCATTCAGCCAAAGATCACTTTACTAAAAAGGAAGTCAGGGGACTCTGCATATATGAGCCAACACCGTGCGGAAAATAGACAACCTACCCCTCCATTGAAGTCTAGGAACAGAAGTGCAAAGGTCAGATGGTTACAAATTATTGCTGGATTTAAGCAATCACAACCTTCAGGAATCAAGACAACATAGCTGGATGCTGTGGATGGAGGGCATACAGCAAGCCTGAAGACAAAAATGGGAAGACAGAGGTGAAACCACCTCCAACCATCCTCCAAGACCAGAAATCACCAGGGTCTATTGAATAGATTGCTCACAAAATTGACTTACTTCATTACAACTTTTTAAAAGTATAAATCTGATCCTTGCAAACCACCATCTAATAATAAAACTACACTAAAGTACTGAAGGGTAACTTATGCCAAGTGGTTCCTATTGAATTAAATGTATACAAGACAAATCCTCTTGCCAATTCCCTAAGCAAAGTGCAGTTACATTAAAATAGGCACTGCATTAGAACCTAGGCTTCACAAGTAAAAAGTTATTTGTTTTATGATAGATATTAAATATAGATTCAACAGCATTGTTGACATTTCTGTTTTCCAGACTGTTATATAGGTCATACATCACAAAATTTAAATATGTCATTCCAAAAATATTTCACAATGTATGTTAACATACAGAAATAATCATTGCCATTTACTATTTTGTCTGGGTCTAAAATCTATTGCAGCAATTTCATCACACATGTTAATGGGAAGTGAGCTGATTGATTGCACTCTTCCTTGGAGAAATCTGCCAATTTAATTTAAGCAACCATTTAATCAAAATCACCAGTAGAAGGCACCATCATTAGCAGTTCAGGGATAATTGTTATCAGCATCCTGAGATAATCTAACATAGAGTACCATGCACATCAAAGGCTTTTCCAAATGATTAAAAGCAAAGTATTTACACTTTCTGGGGATACTTTCCCCACTTTATGAAAATTGAAAGGTACCAAGAGAGAACACAAGAGTAATGGCATGTAATAAAGCTGTAACTGAGGTTAATACACGTAAATGTGTGAAAAGGAATGAATTTGGTTTATCTGTTTAAAGAAATTATTTTGGTTGAAAGGTTTGTTTTTAAGGGCATTTTTGAACACATTATTTTGTATCTAAAATGATGCCACTGTTTGGTATATGACAGATGTTATGTGTATATAATTTGCATTGAGTGTTTGTCTTTTTTATTCATTTTTATTATATGCAATGCGTAACTATAATTTGGGCTTTACCTTGTCCAAAACCAAGTTCATTTTCTACCTGACCAGACTCATTCATTTTGGATGTGTAGCAAACTTCTTTGGAAATTCTCAAAGCAATATTCATTGAAATAGAGACTTGGATTTATTGTAAAATTTCAAATAAGGGTAACCTCTCGAATTGTATTGTTGAGATCCAACAAATGACTGATGCACATCACTACTACATGGGCCACAACATACACATCAACACTTCTAGCATTTGATTTAATTTATAGGAATTCACAGTTTTAGCATTTTCAACACTGAATGAGTTAAGGATGTTAAATGTTTAGAAGTTATGGTTCATCAACTAAACATAATAAACCCAAATGTTTCCACTCTTCTTTCATTGATGAAAATACTTATTTCAGTGGCATTAATATCAAGAAACATTTGAGATGTTTTACAATTCTAACTTGCAACATCAAATGTTATTTATTTGATAACTTGCAAATAGAAATGTATTGGATAAAACTGTCAGCAAATATCTAAACACATGAACAAACATAAATTTGACATAAATAGCTTTATTGATCTTTAGAGCTTCCAAAATTATCAAGATTTCAATTAAGGCAATAAATGTGTTAATTCAGAAATGGAACATCTGTTAAAAGAAACACATTGGATTCACCATCTGAATACAATCTATTCAATATGCCCACGTTCTAAGGTTATATATGAACCTGATTTATAAATTTAATGTATTTGGTCACTTCCATTAATATTGGTTGAGTCAGAAACACATTCTCAGCTGGTTCGGTATGTTATATGTATTTTGCCTACATTGTTTTGGGGTATTTCTACTTCTCAATGGTAACCTGTACAATGCAGCTGCTTTTGTAATATATTAAAAACAAAACCACAACATTTTTTCCTATCCTATTGTGTGTCATAAACAAACACTTAAACACTGGTTTGTTTGGGTATTTTGCCTACAAGATTTTTGGTCATTTCCTTTTGGCTGCTGCTGTATATAAATAATGAAAACTACCTAACCCATAACAATGGAATTTAAATTTTATAATTTTAGTTATTATTTCTAGGAAATTGACCAATATATAAATAAACAATTATTGTGCAATTTAAAAATGTACCATCCCTTCTATGTTGCTATTTTGGAACAATTTATGTTTTAAAATAATAAACATTAAAAAGGGAAATATAAATGTTTGTCTATCAATAAATAATAAGAACTTGAATCTACCTACACCACTTCCATTACTAGATGAATTCTGTGCATGCTTAGATGACAACATTCAGCAATAAAAGCTAAAAGGAATCAAGTTGTTTCATAACCTTATATAAGAGATGAACTATTCTGTCTATTGGCTAATCAGTTTATTGGGGTAGGTATTATGAGTATAGTACACAGTTATTATATCATTTTGTGTGTGTGTGTGTGCACTCGAGTGAGATTTGGTTTTTTTAACATACATTTGACAATTTTTCAGTCATATTGCTATGATGTCTGCAGTGTGGAAGTTATAGTGATGTCTAGCACTGGGGCATCATGCCACAGACATGTAGCATGATATACCACCCAGTCAATTATCTTGACACAAGGCTGACTAGTCTTAACACTAACCTCCTAATGTTGAGCACCTAGCAAGACAGCTGTTAGTACCATTTTTATGTCTTTAGTATGACTCAGCTGGGATTCAAACCAATGACCTCCCGCATCCAAGGTGGATGCTCTAACTACTAGGTCACTGGAGCAGCCATTTAAGTATGAGAAAGACAGTCCAACATTGTTCCTTTAAGGATACACTCTAGCTCCCACTCATTTCTAAATATAAATTTCCAGGTCCTTTCCAGGGTTTTTCCAGCATGAAATTAATTTTTTTCAAAGTTCAGACATAACTGTTACTGAATGGTATTAAAGAACACTTCAGATTATAAAACATGCATTTTTTAAACCTAACGATGTTCATATCTGAAGACACTCCCAACCATCTAAGTCAGAAAAGATGATCATGTAGAAAACCATAAAATGTATCAAATAAAACAAGTTTGATTATTTTCCTATAAATTTCATGCAAAGTTATTTCAATGTATAGAATAAAAATTCTAACTTTACTTTGCTAACCTGCATTATGTTACATGGAAACAATATAATGAACATAAATTAGTTTTGTTGTCTTCCAAACCTTTTATTCTAATCAATTCTAGAGTAATGTATATGCATTTTACAAAATAAACATTTCATATCACAGTATGAAAAAACAATAAATGCAAAGTGTTAGAATCTTATCTTGTAATGTAAAGAAAAACATTTAACCCACAATTAATCTGTACCAATAAAACCCAAACAAGATTTTTTAAACAACCTAAACTCCTTAAGAGGATTCGGTTAAAAGTTCATCATTTAAAAAAACATATACATAGGGGTTGATTTAAATTTTGACAAACGACCTTCAAAATGATATTTTGCTGCATAAACAAGGACTGAATTTTCTGTAAAATCATGTCATCTTGTAATTCAATAAACATTTCCCCAAAGCTGTATTAATACAGGGACTTGAATCATTGTTTGATATATATTACAAGGGATGACAATTTCCCATTTCTCCTGCATCTTATTTAAGGTCTATAACAATGCTTCAAGCTACATGCCACTGAGTAATAGTTTTTCACCAAAGTTCAGCTCAGAGATTCAACATTTTGGACATCAAATTTGGCTTAAAACAAATAGCAGTCCATTTTCTAATACAGGTTTCCACCGAATATTCCCATCCCAATTTTTAAATCTGGACATTAGGATGTGGTGTTGGGTTAGCAATTGCATGCTGAAATTTGGAATTTGCCGCCACCATGCAGTAGTGACATATGGTAGTCACTTACCAGACCAGCAAATTTAACTGATGTTATATCAACTCATACCTGCATTAAATCATAGGAAAATGGATTTTTTTCCCTCAGAATTGGCAAATATTATAATCATTATGTCTTTAATCCTATGACAGACTAGATGAAACTACTGCATAGATGAAACCTGACACAGTTATCACCTGTTTGCATAACTGGTCACATGACTTCACAAATCTCAAACAACTTCAGAAATCAAATAGTCATGTGATATCAACAACAAAGTCCTGTTTCATGTTGTACAATAATTCAATTATATTAAATGAAAATTAGATACCTTTAATAAAAATAAGCAGGAACATATATTACTTGTCAACATATTTATTTCAAGAACGACAAGAAACCTGTTGCTGTCAATGCAATCTGGCCAGTCAGAGAGCACATGCCAACACTGTAGTCACTTGATACAACAAAACCCTGGTAGTTGTTCTCGTAATAAATATAGAAGTCTTCATGTTCTTTTGCTTTTTGTTTTAATAATATTTTTAAATTTTTTCTACAACATTTAAAATGGTTTATTATTGATAAAACATGACTACTGGATTTATGATGCCATGAACATGTGGGTTGTGAGATAATTGTGCTCATGCAACAAGCAATGCATATCACATGTACCAGGTCAAATTTCATCAATGCCTTGTTTACCACACATATCTAATCCACTGAGCATTTGGGTTGATTCAACAAATATATTTATATCAAGCACTCAAATGATTCATATTGCAATGTTCAATATTCTGATCAAATCTCAACAAATTCAACTCATGATCAGTTGAGTTATGACTCAATTATGTAATTGCTTTGAGCTTCAAGTGGTGATGGAAAATTCCTGGGTTTTTCCCAACTTTCATCAATATTTGCAAAATTCAAGGACTTTTCAGAGTCTGGAAAAAAGTATAATTTCTCCTTTTTCCCCAATTTCCTGGTAGCATGTACTCAAAGAATAAAAAAGCCCCAAAATACAACACTTAGATGCTAAAATCCATACCTATAAAGAGGAGGACAGTCCCTGTTTTAAGTAGATAAAATTTAATTATCATATCAAAAGGTGTTAATCTGTGCTCTCTGCATGGATTCTAGGGTTTGTAATTAGTCCCTCATTATTTTTACTTTAAGGCCAAAGATTTCTTTGCCCTGTGTAATTAAGTCTGGAAGTGTTTCAGGAGGAAATCACAATCATTGGGTTACTGTGGGAATTTTTTAATTTATTAACAATTGAAAATACCAAATGTACATTTAAGCATAATTTGTGAGCATTTGTACTGAAAATATGAAATGAATCATTCACAATGCACATGATAACTATAAGCAACAGATGTTTCAATATGACAATACTAGCAAATATCAAACCAAACTTACCAAACTTGCTTCAAAATATTCCATACAATTATGGTCCAGCTTAAAGGAATAACTCTGCAAATAAATTTCTAAACCTTTGACATGTTTTTTCACAAGAAATATGTTCTTCTTAAGGCAAAGTTTGTCCTGCATTCAATTAAATATGTAATGAAAATCTGATACTTAGATACATTTACTGGTAAGCATTAAAGAGACATAAGAAATAGTTATAATAAATCATGACATGTCATATGAAAAATAGTTATAATAAATCATGACATGTCATATGAAAAATAGTTATAATTAATCATGACATGTCATATGAAAAATAGTTATAATAAATCATGACATGTCATATGAAAAATAGTTATAATAAATCATGACATGTCATATGAAAAATAGTTATAATAAATCATGACATATGAAAAATAGTTATAATAAATCATGACATGTCATATGAAAAATAGTTATAATAAATCATGACATGTCATATGAAAAATAGTTATAATAAATCATGACATCATATGAAAAATAGTTATAATAAATCATGACATGTCATATGAAAAATAGTTATAATAGATCATGACATGTCATATGAAAAATAGTTATAATAAATCATAACATGTCATGAAAAATAGTTATAATAAATCATGACATGTCATATGAAAAATAGTTATAATAAATCATGACATGTCATATGAAAAATAGTTATAATAAATCATGACATGTCATATGAAAAATAGTTATAATAAATCATGACATGTCATATGAAAAATAGTTATAATTAATCATGACATGTCATATGAAAAATAGTTATAATAAATCATGACATGTCATATGAAAAATAGTTATAATAGATCATGACATGTCATATGAAAAATAGTTATAATAAATCATTACATGTCATGAAAAATAGTTATAATAAATCATGACATGTCATATGAAAAATAGTTATAATAAATCATGACATGTCATATGAAAAATAGTTATAATAAATCATGTCATATGAAAAATAGTTTTGACTCCCACCTCTCCTCCATCATTGTCATGTATATAACCATGTGATTTTCTAAAAATCATAATTAAAGGATAGAGAGAGATTGACACTTTGATATATATGCCTGTAGCTTGATCAACAGTACAGAGTTACAATTCACTTTATGCTTAATGCTATTAACAGATAAGTTTATACAGTTCATTGTCATAGTGGTGACTTAAAGACAAAGGTGGTCTGGCATACGCAACCACCATTCTACAGATTATTTAACTGAATTAAAATAGCTAAAGTGAATTTGTTCACAGTCCTTTCTTCATGGATGTTGGAGAGGCACTAATAGTATAATTCGCATACATAAAGTACCTAAGTGGAACAATCCAGTTTGTTTTAAGTCAAGATGGATGTTAAGTAATGGGCATTAGACTGTGTTGTCTTGAGTCTTTATGCCATCTTTTTTAAATATCATGGACTTGTTTTTCATCAGTAGCAACATTTTGGGAATGCAGTTCACTGTGAAAGCAAAATGTCAAAGTACAGAAAATTCAACTTGTTTGTTTATTATTTATGCAATCTTTTGAACTGTTACTTCTGGACAATCACAGATGTGCACTAACTATTACTGCTGAACATTCACAGATGTGCATGAAACATTATGAATTTTCTTTTCTTCAAATGTCTTATGAGAGATGAAATGTACATTTTCTAGCATTGGGTTTGGACTTTTTGGAACAAGACTGATTATCACCACACAATAACTCACTCAATAGATTGGACTACTTAACAATATACAAGATTAGGTGTACTCATTAGAGAAATAAAATTGATAAGTATTCAAAGAAATACCATGGCTTTAGAACTAAATGCAAGATCACTTGCTACTACATCATGCTTACTGACAATTTTATAAAGTCAACAATATACAGCAACAATGAATTTTTCCCTTAGAAATCTAATGGATAATCCAAATAGTACAGACAGGACAGCTAGTTGCTTTATCAACTATATAATAATTCTGAATGAACCAATCGCTGTATGTCTATGGAGTTGATTTATGTGAGGTGATGGATTAATGTTAAACTGACTACAAACCAATTATTTTAAATTACTTATAGTAAATTAATTTTCTTCCAGTATTTCCATCAAAATTACTTCAGAATCTCTGAAGATGAGCATCAAAGACATTTAACTAATTTGAAAAAAAACAATAATAGTTCATCAAAAGAACATATTAAGTTCAGTGACTAGAAGCCTGCTCTTTTTTATCAGTCCATTGCAAAACATAATATTCTTGACACCTGATCCTTTTATTCACTACTACAACAATTAGAAAGTCTATGGCAATATTATTTTCAAGTCCCAAACAAGATTCTGAGATACTTGCACAGAAATAGTGTGCCCATAATTTAAAGTATGATGTTTTCAATTTATTATTTTGAAAAGGAATAACTGGAAGAAAAAAAAATGAAGGATGAAGTTACTTTTCTCATAAGTCAAAATTACAACCATAGATGATTAGGTTT